GTTCAGTTCCCAACACCATACACACACACACACACACACACACACACACACACACTCATGGGAAGGTATCTTTCTCTTTTCTAAAAGATTAGTTTTTATATTGTTAGAAGTTTAGTATGTCTTGAGGCTAGGAGTGCAGCTCAGTTGAAAACTCACCCGGCATGCACAAAGCCTTGGGTTCTGTCCCCAACACCATATAAACTAGAGATGGTTCTATATGCCAGTAATCACAACACTCAGGAGGTAGACACAGGAGGATCAGAAACTCAAGGATCATCCTTGGCTACATAGCAAGTCCACTGCCAGCCTAGATGAAATCTAATGTGTCTTGAATTATTGTTTATAATTAGGCTTGTTATTGGTTTTATTAATGTGCTAATGGAAAAGTTACATAGAATTTTTCCTTTTTCATAGAAAACAATACTAATCTCAGTTATTTTATTCTTTTTAAAGGTTTTATGCATGTAGATATTTTACTTGTGTGTATTTCTGTTCACTGTGTGCATTCCTGGTGCCTATGAAGCCCAGAAGAGGGTATTGGATCCCCTAGAACTGGAGTTACATGTGGCAGTTACTAGCCACTCTTGGGTGCTGGAAAGCGAACCTGACTTCTCCAGAATAGCAGTCAGTGCTCTTAACTGCTGAGCCATCTCTGTCCAGCCTCGATTTCAGCTATTTTTATTGCTTCTATTGTTTTTTGAGATTATAATATAATTATATTGTTCCTGCTTTTGCTTTCCCCCTCCTGTTGTCTATTGTTACATGCATATGTATGCATATATATTCCTAAATACATTTTTAATGTAGGTGTTTAAGAGTCTGTAGAAAATTAAAGGTGTAAGGCACAGAGGCCAAACATCTTGTGTTTGTAGATGATGCAAAATGAGCATCCAAACTTATTCCACTGACTTCAACTTCCTCCCCTGGTGTGCTTAAGAATATCTTTGTCGCCGGGCGGTGGCACACGCCTTTAATCCCAGCACTCGGGAGGCAGAGGCAGGCAGATCTCTGTGAGTTCGAGGCCAGGCTGGACCGACAATACAGAGAAACTCTGTCTCGTAAAAACCAAAAAAAAAAAAAAAAAAGAATAGCTTTGTCAACCGTTGAATGGCTGCCAGATTTGGGGAGGGGTATGATTTGATTTCCGAAGAGCATGTGTGTCTTTTATTCACGTGTTTTCTCTGTAGAATTGTGTTGATGTCCTGGCACACTATTGTCATTCAGCAGGAATGCTCTCTCGCCTGCAGTTGTGCCTCCTCTCTTACAGTGCTGCAGCTGGTCCTCCTAGCGTGTAGCTCGTCTTTTTCACTTCAGAGTGAAGAGCAGATCCATACACAGACGTTTTTAGTTTACTATAACTGAGCTCATCATTTCTTTCGTTATAGTTTTATCTTTTCCATTTAAAAAGTATATCTAGAATTGTAATCGTAGCCACATTCTGTGTTTTCTTCTAAAGGCTTCCAAATTTCGCCTGTTTGGGCTAGCTGGTATTTGTGTATGACCTGAGCACAGGTTAGCAGTGCTTGGAGCCATCTATTAAGTATTGGGATTCTGAGTGTGCAAACAGCTTGTCCATGCTGTTTGCCTGTCTGTGCTGTTTGCCTGTCTGTGCTGTTTGTCTGCCATCTTTACTGTTTGTTTGTCCATGCTGTCCATTTTTCATTCCTTTCATTCCAGGGGAAAGTTACTTTTGTTACTTTTATAAACAGTATCTTTTCACAAAGAATACATTTTTATTGCTAATGACTAATAAAAGCTCAAGTGATTCTGTATACGATATACCTGGCAACTTTGCTGAATTCTCTTATTCTACATATGTGAATTGTAAGGCTATCTTGTTATCTATAATAATAATCACTTTATTTTTTTCCTAAATGTGATTCTGAGATCATTGTTAGAGTACTAAACTGACAGAAACCTAGAGGTGGAGTTGGGGGTAGTATGAAAGAACCCTGATGATGCTAAGGCATGTTTGTCGTGTTCCTGATTTTAAAGAGAAGGTTCTTGAAAGTTCAACATTATTTAGCATAGCTATTTCACAGACATTAAGATACCCTCTTAAGCATCTGACTTGCACAGGTAACATCATGAGTGGATTTAAACTTTTGTCAAAATAGGTTTCTGCCTGGGCAAAAGGTGTCCCGGACAACAGAAGAGCCTGGACCATGCAAAGCTTGTTCTCCCTACTTGTCGCCCCTAGTGCTGAAGGGTGGGAGCTTGGGAATGCGCCTGTCTCATGTTTGATTGGAAAGAGGGAACCTCAGATTAACCTTGGAAAAGAGGGAAGACATTATGCATGAGCTCTAAACTAAGTAGGCGAAAACAGTAGAGAGGATGGGCTTTCTGTGTGGGCCTCCCTCAGTAATTAGAGTTTGACTTTGTTGATATTCTCAATAGATGTATTTTCCCAAAAAACTTTAAAGATAGGACTTGGGTGGTTCTCAGGAGCTCCAAACTACCTCCTAAAGGTGCAGTACTTCAGCTCAGGGGGTGTATCAAAATCTGCAGTGTCGGGATTGGCCTAGAGTTTATGGTTCAGGAAGTTGGAAGAAAATTGTTCTTTCTAAAGAATTCCAGGAACTAGAGAGACAGTTCCCAGTTAAAGCTCTGGCTGCACTCCCGGAAAACCCAGGTCAGGTTCCCAGCACCCATGCAGGGTGGCTTACAACTGCCTGTATCTCCGGTTCCAAGGGATCTGAGCCCTCTTCTGGCCTCTGCAGGCACTGCATACACATGGTGCACATACACATTCAGTCACTCACTCATTCATACACATAGAATACAAAATGCATATTCTTAAAAGGAGATGTTCCAAGTGCTTCCTGTGATGGGGGGCTTTTGTATGCCCCTTTGAAAAACACGTTCCAGTGCTATCTGCTTAGAAAGTCACCATGGCAGTTCAGATTCAAGTAAACAAAATGACTCCAGTGCATGAGAAAGAAAAGGGAGGACTACACAGAGTGATCATAAGTACTGCCCTTTTAGGGTGACAGATGACCACCTACCCTGTTAGAGGAAAGAGAGGGAGCCAAGATACCCCCAGGAGAAGGAGGCAGGATAACAGAATGAACACATGAGAAAATATAAAGGCAAGCCGAGAGAAGCCAGGACATCAGGAGGGCAGAGTATTCAGTCTGTGGTCCACCACAGGCGCTAAGAGAAGAATGATGGGGAGCCCTCTATGTTCCCTGGGAAGGGGAAATGGAGTGACTTCTGAAGAGGCAATTCTGTGAGGATTCCTCCCACACAGAGATGGTCCTCTGTTAAGAAACAAACTAAATGCTGGACATGCCAGAAACCCATATCCTAGAAAGTAAGAGGTTTACATTCCTCGTTAAATAGATCAACTGGATCTGTTCTTAGTATAGAAAAAGGAGGCACTGTGAGCTGACGAGGCCTAAAGTCACTCATCCCAGGAGTCACAGTGCTTGCCAAAAACACTTTGGCGTGGGCTCAGGGAGTTGAGGAGAGACACAGGGAAAGTCATAAGCGGGGAACCATTGCCCCAGTACAAGGAGAGCAATACCCCATGCACCTAGGATAGCCAAAGCCTAACTCCTTTCAACCAACAGCAGAGTGAGTAAACAATACATAAAAATAGGAAGGGCATGTGCTTCTCCATTCTCCCTTCACACCTGCTGTGGACCACTCTCTGATAAGGGCTGCCTCATCCTCTGAATTCTGCCTCTGGTCGCTAGCACACGTATCAGAGCTAGAAATGAACAATACAGGTGACTGACACAGGTCCAGCTGAGCTCATACAGCAGGAGTGATTTGACAAAGTAATGACACTCATTTGCCTCATCTTATGTATCCATCATTAGGCCTGCATGAATTTATGAGTTTATATTAAAACACTTAAATATGTCCTTTTAGAAAAATCTGAAGCGAAGTTGTCCTTGCATCTGGAAAGATTCAAGTAGCTTCATATGTGTAGATAAAGAAACCGAAAGTAATCACAGCCATGTGAAGAATTCGATCCCTTATTTGCTACAGACAGTTCTTAAACAAGATGTCTCATTGTTCAGTGATATACTGACTCACTACAGGTAAATAAGCTTCAAGTTCGATAGAAAAAGTGCAATGCAAACTGAATAGTGTTCTTGGGCTGCGGAGTCTTCTCTGGAACAGCAAAGTTATCCTTTACTCAAGCCATGTGTCTCCCACCGCCCTCACACATGATCATCCAGCCTTGAGAGCATTCTACTCCCTTGTGTGTCTCCACTAGTGCATGCTCCTAGTTATTGCCCTAAGAATTTTTTCCCATGCTGTATCAGATCACAATAGTTATCATTTAAAACAATGCCTTTGAGAATTTTATACATAAATATGATGTGGGATGTCCTTCTGTATATATGTTTCTCTTATTGGTTAATGAATAAAACACTGATTGACCATTGGCAAGGCAGAAAGTATAGGCAGGGCTACCAGACGAGGAGAACTCTGGGGAGAGGAAGACAGAGAGGGACCTTGAGGAGATTCCATGTAGGAACAGGGAAGATAAGACCACCAGGCGTTCTCTGGCAAGAAAAGGCCATGTAGAAATACATAGATTAGTAGACATGGGTTAATAATTAAGACAGAGCTAGCCAATAAGAAGCCCTAGCCATCAGCCAACAATTTTATAATTAATATGGTGTCCATGTGTTTATTTGGGGCAAAGCAGCTGTGGACCAGGTGGGACAGTAATCTCTGCTACATATATATATATGTATGTATGTATGTATGTATATATATATATATGTATATATATATATGCGCTTCTATATCTATATCACTTCCACTTCACCATCTCCCCATTTCAGTTCTTCCCATGACCCTAACTCTCTCTCAAATTCATGCCTTTTCTATAATGGCTTCTGCTACATATGTGCATCTACATACAGACACTCTTGGACAGTTCTGATGATTAAAAGATTCCTCCTCATATCACAACAAAATCTATCACCCTGAAATTTCTGCCTTTTGTTTCTGTTGCTGTTTTTGAGACAAGGTCTTACCATGAAGATTCACATAGCCCAAGTTGGTCTCAGATTCTCAATCCTCCTGCAGCTGTGACTCTAGGCCTACATCACCACAGCCAGCTTCCATTTAGCAATGCTGTCGTATCCCACCTAGAAAAAAACATCAAAGCCTCTTTCAGCATCCCACCCAGGGATGTGCCAGCTCAGCTCTTTTCTCTAGGCAAATGACCAGCTTGGTTCTACAATGGAATCCTCCTGCTGAATTCATTTCGCTGTCCAGTTTGCCTTCTCTAGATACAGGCTGCCTTGTCTAGGTCCTCTCTCCAAGACAACACATAGGCAGCACAATACACTACGTGCAATCTGGGTCAAGCCTGACCACATTATAAATCTTGGTCCCCCTGGTCTTTTAGAACAGCCCACATGTTATCTGCAAGCAATCCAGGCTTTGCTATCTTTTTCCTTTCAATTTAACTACAGTTCATTAGACAATGTCGAAAATACATGTATGAAATGCTGAAATGAACACTTATTTCTATCTGCAAGTTTTGCAATCACACCAGAAAGTAATGATGGGTAAGCCAGGGTAACTGCTCAGATGCAGGCTGACTCCAGCCTAGGGTTCTCAGATGCAAAGCCCTTGCTTCTTCCTGGTGGCTGTTTCTCCTGAAGCTCCTATCAATGCCTTGTTCTGACCCAGTGATTCAGCACTTGATCCTGAGCCATGTGTTCTGGGAAGGGGCTGGGGTTGTTGTTATTGCTTCACAGCACTCCCCAGCCCTTCGTTGTGTTGTCTGTGCCAGACTCTAATGCTTTGCCCACTTAGCTTTGGTTCTGCTTTATGATTCTGCTCTCCACAATCATTTGAAGATTTGCTAATAAAACTGTTGATTTATCATTAAAGCCTCTTATTTGTGATAGCTTCTAACAGTAATAGTAAAAAGCTTTTGGACTGTGTATGACTCAGGACAAGAGGATAAAAACAAACAGATTCACAGTCTCTTAATGCAAATGTTAACCAGGCTGGGGAGCTGGGGGGGGAGGTCTGTGGGTGAATGTGGGGGGTCATGTAACATCACAAACTGAACACAACTGACCCCAGGGGAAAGTATCACTGCCATCCAGATGGAGTCTGCTGTCACTCATTTTATCCACAGCCTATATAGAAATGTTAATAACTAGAATTTAGTCAATAAAATCTTGGGTTTCTGCAAAGGAGATCTTGGAATAAAGTTACTAAGAATAGTTTGTGTCCCCTAACTGGATGCGTGGCAGTGTAGTAGCAAGGTAAATTCCTGTTTGAAAGCTAGCAGAGCACAGAATTGTTTTTCATTGACTGGGCTAAGGGTCACACAAAGCCCGTGATAAACGGTGTGCTTTCTCCAGTCATTCATTAACTTTGAGGATGTGGAATGCATCACCAAGAGACTAGCCCAAACCATACACTTGAAAGCTGTAACTGGAGTTTTCTGGACTGGTACATGAGAGGATGGAAGAAAAGTAGTAGGTTTATCCTTGTCTTTGCTACTATTCAAATCATGGTTGCCTCAAGCATCTCGGATGGTGTGTTTGTCAGCTTTATGCAACTATAACAAAAAATACGAGAATATCAGTATACAAAGAGGTAGAGTTTAGGACTATTTCAGGTGCTAATTTTAATTTTATTTTAATTAATCTTAGAAAATAATGAACTTCCTCAACATTTTCTCTTTGCCCATATTTGCCCCCATCACAATCCTAAATAATGTCCTTCCTAGAGTCTAATCTACCTCCCTTCAAATAGCCTTCTACATCTATTCCATGTAGTGGGCATACCCAATACATGGCCTATAGGCCGCAAACATCTGAAGACAGCTATGAGTGTAGCCCAACACAAAATGATAAACTTACCTAAAATATTGGCTTTTTATCTAAGGATTTTCTCTTTCACAACATTACACGTTCATATAATGTACCTTGATTAAATCTTCTTTATTAACTGTCTTTATTCCCTTTCCTCTCCTGCAAAACCCATCTCTTTCCCAACACCCCTTCTACGTTTGTGTGTGTACGTGCATGTGTGTGTGTGTGTGTGTGCATATGTACGTGCATGTGAGTGAATGTAAGTGTGTGTGTGTGTGTGTATGTGTGTGTGTGTGTGTGTGTGCAACCTAGTAGCATCATTCCTGAGCATGGACTTTGTACATGGCACACCATGGCACAATGTCAAATGGATGGGTGTGCAAGATTGTAGTTTATTTTGCTCATGGTTTTGGAGGTTTCCATTCATAATAAATTTGCTATCACTTTAGGCCCATTGAGAGGCAGCACTTCCTGGTGGGAGCACGTGACAAAGCAAGCCCCTCACCTTGCAGCTAGGAAGCAACAGAGAGGAAGAAAGGCCCTGGGGTAATATATACCAGTAAAGGCTCCCCGGGCTCCCCTTTCTTGACAGTGCCACAGTCACAGTCTTTTCCCATGGATGGGCCTTTGGGAGACAGTCAAAATTTAAACTACAACGGGTTAATGAAGACCCTTTGTCTACACAGTTGGGGACGTGATGGCCTACTACGTACACCCCTCTGACTTTAGGAGTGAACCATGAGCATGACTGGATCACCAGGCCATGGATGAGATGGACATGACAAATGAGTGCAGCCTCCTTTTCAGAGAGACCCCTTGAGTTTTTTGCTTACTCCATGATGCATGCATGGGGCTCAAAAGATGGTTGGGCAGGCGAGCAAAGACAGTGACAGTCATCTATGCCCCCAACTCACAATTATCTGCTCCTAATATTCTGGTACTTCAGATTTCGGCATTTTTCTTTAAGAAATCTTCCTGCTGGACATGGTCGTGCACGCCTTTAGTCCCAGCACTTAGGAAGCAGAGGCAGGTGGATCTTTGTGAACTGAAGGCCAGCCTAGTCTGCGTAGTGAATTCAAGGCCAGGCAGTGCTACAGAGTGATACCCCCAAAAAAAATCAAAAATCTTTCTATTGTGTCTCATTTGAACAACACCAGCTGGACACAGCATAGACTCCCAGCCATGCAGAATAGGACAGAAATCAAAAGCCTTTTTTTGAAGTAGGTAAAAAACCCACCATTGTTATTTGTGGATGTTGTTCTATATAGCCCATTCTTTTCAAAGCATTGCTTTGGGCAAAGCTTCTACTCTGGGGAGAGGATTTGAGTTTTCAAAATAGGCCTGAGTTGCTGGGAGGCATTTAGGTCTGGTGAATGGGTAATGATTAAGCTGAGCAACAGGACTCTGGTGCCAAGTCAGGTACAATTGGTTTTCTTGGACAGGTCAGAGAGTGTCATGAGGGGACACATGTCAGAAGTGACCGGCGAGTGCTGCCCTCATAGAGACTCTTTGTGAAGGACATGTGTTAGAAGCCTTGGGGACCACAACCTCTGGAATGGAGCCAGAGCTGTGTTACTTGAGAGCTGTGGCCTCCATCAGAACCCTCCCTTCTCCCCACCCCCACCCCTGCCTAACAAAGCCTCTGTTTACTCATCTCTAATGGGATGTTCATAATGTCCACTTTTCATAACCTGTTATGAGAGTCAAATTAGGTCAGGGGCATGAAAGCTCATTTGCAAACTGTCAAGCGCTATACAAATGTCAGGCTCTATTATTTAAGTATATTTGTCAAATTAATCTTGTTTCTTGATGGGCACACTGTCCATGGACACAATCAGTCAGCCGGGTCATTGAGGCCTTGCTGGGTGGGGCTGCCCTCTCCCTTCTGCTCTGTTCAGGATGCCTTGCCCTTGCTGCCACTATCAGTTCGCCCAGTTTACTCCCAGTACCTCGGTGTGGGCAAGGGGAGTGAGAATACACTGGCGAATGCAGCCTGAGTCTTCACCACCACCCACCATTTCTGGCTTCCTAGAGCCTGCAAAGTGAATGGTTTCCAACTGGAATGTCTACTTTGCAATGTTAGAAGGACCCAATTAGTTTTCTGCGCACCTGGGAGTTCTTTGAGGATTAGAAATTCATTCAGAAAGAGATCATGAGCCTGCTTTGGGGGCACATGCCCGTACCAGCACTCAGGAGGCAACAGCAGGAAGAGCAGGGGTTTGAGGGTCACTTAGGCTACATGGTAAGAACTGGTCTGCTTGCTTGTACTTTCGATTCCAATTTTAAATTATATATATATATTTATGTATATAATATACATATACATAGATATGTGAGATACAGATATCACACAAGGGTAGAATCTGCAACCTTTGAAGTTATGTCATTCCCATGGTGAATAATAAGGGGAAGAAAGACTAACAACTGCAGAATCCTGGACCTGAGCAGATGGCTCAGTCAGTAAACAGCTTGCCTTGAAAACACGAGGAACTGAGTTTTAAATGCTCAGAACTCACACTTAAAAAAAATCAGGCACTGCAATGTGCACCTGTAATCCCAGTGCTGGGGAGGCAGAGACAGGAGGAGCCATGGAGCTTACTGGCCAGTCAGTGCAAGTCTAGCCAAATCAGTTAACTCCAGTCCACTGAGAGAACCTGTCTCATAATAATAATAATAGTAATAATAACAATGTTGAGAGCATCTGAAGGAGATACCTGGCATTGACCTCTGAATTCTGCATGTACATGTACACATATGCACTGACACATACATACACATCACAAAAAAACACACACACACACACCATTTAAAATAGCGATAATAACAGAGCCATTCTAATGGTGTAATGATGGCTGGAAGAACTAAGTTTCATGACTTGGTACAGCCTGAGGCATCAAAAGAGCTCAATAGATGCTAGCTGCTATAAAACTTCCAGATTCTTTAAGTTAGAAGACTGTCATTGGATAAGCCATCGTGGGCTTTGGACACATGAAAACATGTCTCATCAGCAATGAGCCATTGTTACTAGTAAGTTATAGGTATGATTTGGCCATTTGGAATATACACTTTATTAAGTTTTATTTATCTTTTTTTTTTTACATAGCAATCCCAGCTCCCCCTCCCTCCCCTCCTCCTACTCCCCCCACCTTTCTCCCACCCCATCCCCCATCTGATCCTCAGAGAAGATAAGGCCTCCCATGGGGAGTCACAGAAGTCTATCACCACACTGAGGCAGGACCAAGCCCTTCCCCCTGTGTCTGGGCTGACAAAGAAAGCTCTCCACAGGAAATAGGCTCCAAAAAGCCAAA